TCTGCAGGGCCTCTCTGCCCTCCAGAGCACCCACAGGACCTCCCAATTTGATGTCACCAGCAAACTTTGTTAGCAGTTCTTCAAGCCCTGTATCCAAGTCATTGATGAAGACATTACAGAGCACCAGCCCCAGGATGGATCCCTGCGGGACCCCACTAATGACCAGTCACCAGCCCGATGTAACCCCATTGACTAAAACCCTTTGAGCCTGACCCATCAGCCAGTTGGTCACCCATTGCATTAAGTGTTTATTCAGCTGTATGCTGGACGTTTTGTCCAGGAGGATACTGTGAGAGATGGTAGTGAAGGCTTTACTGATGTCCAAAAAGATTACATCAACTGGCTTCCCTTGGTCAACTAGGTGGGTAACCTTGTCATAGAAAAAGATTAGGTTTGTTAAGCAGGACTTCCCTTTCATGACCCCATGTTGGCTGGAATTTGTAATCCGCTGTGGCTGTCCCTGGGGTGAAAGTTGGAAATAGGAGTAAGAAATGATCAGATCATAATGGTAGAAGGTGGCTGAGCTTTTGCAGGTGTGATTTTTTTTTTCCTCCATTCCCCCCCTTTTTTTTAATTCCCTGAAACACTTCAGCCACTGCATTCACTGCAGATCCAGTTTGTTGTGACAGCTGAGAGGGAAGTTTCAGTCAGAGGCTAGTTTCAGTCAGAGGCCAGTAAGGTTACCAAGAGGTGCGTGAAATAATGACCTAGGAGCGACAAACTGGCAAGGGACTACATATGCAATCACTGAACCCTTGATTTTAACAATATCCAGGTTGGAAGGATGGAGCTGTAGAAGTGCAGCTCCATTACAGATGTGTATGTTACCTGCATATGTTGGTGGAGGGTGCTTCAGCTTGGGTTGCTACCCTTTGCTCAATACATAGCCCCATTCAACTTTTTGTTAAATTGCTGATTGGGGCCAAATTCTCCCTTAAGCACCACGCAGCAGGAGCAAGAGCAGCTGCCAGAGGAGTTCCCTCTGATGCTGAGGGGAAACTCCCCAGGCGGGAATAACTTTGAAGGGAGGAACAGGTGTGTAAGATGTGGGAGAAGCGTTTTACCTTCGTGCATCTCATCTGCACAATGCAACAGAAGTACTTCCAGATTTGCATGCACCCTCTCTTTGAATGCAAATATGGGCTGCTGCAAAAATGCCAGCAGTACTTTCTGTCTTTTACTAAGAGAAGTGTCATTATGATGGGGATGAAAACACATCTCAAGTGGGGCTGGAGATGAGGAAGTCAGCAATCTGAAAGACCAGGGCTTTGGAGATACTTTCAATCCTTCCTTTCTTCTTGCTTTTACACAGGTGCTTTTTGGAGATTGAGTGTTTTAACTGCCTGTGTGACTCTTCAGTATTATTCAGCATATAAATAGACAGCAGTAGCATCTAAGTAAAAGACTGACAATAAACTGTATTTTAATATCTTCTGCAGAGTCAGCAGGAGAATTCAACCTCAGCTGCACAGATAATTGTTTGTTACCAGAGTCTAAGTCCTGATCCCTGTAGTTGAGGAAATATAATTCCCAGCTCCATTCCTGTCTTTGTGCAAGATGATGGATGCTTCATAATTTCTTAATGGCAAAAAATAAAGATTCCTTTCCCTTCCTTCCCTGGAGAACCTCTGTTCCAGGTCATGTAGATCTCAAAGTTTAGTAAATTGGTGCTGGAAAATTAAAAGTGCATGATATGTAAGCTGATATTTCCAAATTAAATTGTGCAATGTTTGGATTATCTTCCATGTGTCTCCCACAGTAATGTATTGTGCATATTTTTTTCTCCACTCAAGGATATTTTTTAATAAAAGCTATAAATATATGAATTGGTACATTTAACAAAAGTTATAAATATGAGTGAGAAATCCATTAGACTTGCAAATACGAATTCATTGCTACTCTAATTATAGGAAAAAATGCAAGGTCTAGAATCTCATAGCCATATAACTTGCCTTCAGTTCATGTGCTGTAAAAAATAATAGGGGAAAAAAAAGGCAAAACATATAATCATGAATAAAATGGCAAACTAATCTGGTCCTTGTTCCCTGACAATACGTCTTGTTACTGGCTTTTACCAGCATTCATTTTTTTCTCTGCAGGCTGGAGATTTAAAGACTAACTACACTGATGGAGATGGAGTCAGCAGTGAAAGATGTCTGAATCCCACCAACTCAATCCTGATGGCCAAGAGCTCTTCATCTCCCTCCCTTGAGGAGAGTGACCAATATATATATGTTCCAAATGAAGGAAATCAAAGGCCAGTGACAAATGGAGAAAATGCAGGTTTAAAACATACTGTTTCACCATCTGATCCATATGGAGCAGATCCATACCTTCCATTCAAGACCCATGGATTTATTAAGGATCGGGGCCAACTTTATGCTGACATGAAAAAAAGAAGGTATGGAATTGACTTGATGATATGGCCAGAATGAGGTTTATTTATGATAACCTTTTCTTTCGAAAGCTGAATCAGAATCTGGAGTAATAATATTACTGAGGTAAAATCACTGTTTTCAATCACTGAATATTTAAATTGTCCTAATGATCTATTTTCATAAAATAGTTATGAAAACATTTTTAACAAATAAAAGATATTCTCTGAATAAATTATTTTTTAATGCAAATTTGTATTTTTATATGTTTTTTTTCTTGCATGTATTCTTTAAAAAAAATAAATAATTAGCTGTTCACTGTAAGACTTTCCATTTCTGGTCAGAAACCAGAATTTCACCCTAGTTTTCCTCAGTTATATTTTCCATTAAGAAAATGTTTAAAAATCTGTCAACCTCTATGGGAATCTTTCCTTTCTTTGCACTGGTCTGTAGAAGGACCAAGTTATTCCTGATTGCGTATATGTTTTTACTTCAAAAGACACAGTGCAGAGTATAGCTTGTGTTTCTGGTAGGTTCAGACTGTTTTCTGCTCTTTCACTGGTACACAGGGTTTGCTGCCAGCAGAGTCAGTTGTCTGAGGACCCTTCACAGTTATGCTGGGATCTAGTTGGCTTCAGGAATGCAGAGAGAGAGCTTTGAAGATGAAACTTTTTTTATTTTTTTTTTACAGTTAGTAAATTCCCTTGATGAAGGGGCTTTATTGTGTCTCTGGATAGAAGACGCATGAAATCAGTTCCTTCTTGTACAGGAGGAAATTTGAATCTATCTCCCACCTTTCAAGAGCGTTTGGACTAGTTGGAGGTAGAGCATCAGATCTATGTAAAAACAGTAAGGAAGCAGTGGTGTCTGTCCCCTGTCGATTAAAATGGGCAATAATTTTCTCTACCTTAATTTTTAGTTTCTTAAACAACTATGAAGTCCCATTAGGAGGAATCTTTTAACACAGATAAGACAACAAACATCAGACTAAGAGTTGTTCTTTCTCAGTCCCTTTAGTTTTCGTAGCTACAGGGATGTAATGTACATTACGTAATCTCCTGCCTCTCTGTCATAAACATTTTTCTCCTATACATTTTCAGAAATTCTCACCTTTTTTAAGACCTAGGTTGGGTGCCTATATATGAGCTTTAAGACCTTACAGGAATTTTCAGAGATGTGATTAACCTTAATATGTCAACTGTAAGTGATCCAAACATTGCACGTAAAAAGAGACTGTCAGTATTTAATTCCAGCAGCACCTTCGTTGGAGTGTCAGAGGTGATGTGGAGAGTTACATAGCAGGTCTTTAAACCAGCTTTTTATTTTAGAAAATTTACCTGGGTAAGTTACCCTCAGTAAGATATATATATGCTTGTCTGTTTACATAGACATGTATTGCTTTTCCAATTTTAAAATGAGACGCTTACTGATAATGCAGTTAAATAACTTGTTTCTGAGATGTCACATGGGCTGTTACTAGGATACATTGCAAAAGATGGTCTCCAGAATTGTAATAAGGAAGTAGTTTTGGACAGTATTGATAATTTTGCCCTTCAACAAAGTGAACTGTAGTGGTGTGTGAAGGAATTGTTGTGCTATTATTCCTGGTAGGAACTCTGGCTATTTAGAAATATCACACATAATTTAAAGTTTTATGTTGTAAGGCTGGAATGTTATTGCAAGCAATCAACCATTCCTTCCAGTCATTCTGATGAAGAGACTATGAACTTGCTCTTGCAGCTAATGGGGTCCATCCTGGGAAACCCTGGTACTGCTGAGAAACCTTTCTGCACTCTCCTGCTCAGGAACAATTGCAAATCAAATAGTCTCTAGGTGTTTGAAGTATCGATTTAGCCAGAGATTTCTCCGTCTGTTTATAGTCCTATATGTTTTAAAGTTTTTTATATTTTGAAATGAATCTCATAAACTTTCTGACACCCTCCTTCATATCTCTTAGTTTTCTCTTCTGCCCTCCATCAAGTCACAGATGTAGGAAAAAAAGTCTGTGAATTTTTATATTTTATATTTTATATTTCAAATATAAATATTTTTATATTTATATTTCAAATACATACACAGACAAAATATCCATATATACCCACATATGTTAATACTGAAGTCTGAGTTAGTTATCTCAGTTCTCATTTCCATCTGTATAGAGAGGCAGGTATGTGTGTGTAACAAAACATCTCATTTTAAGGGAGATGTTGAACTCAGTGCATGAGTTACCCAGACCACCAGAATTATGTCAGGTTGTTGTTGATCAGAGTATATAGCAGCATCTTTGCTTGTTGCATTAAGGTTGAGATGGATTGTTACTAGGATTCATTTGAATTAAAGCCTTTGTTGTCTGCTTCAGTTCCAGTCTCGATGACCTTGAAGTGGATGGTGGAAGTGGAGGTGTTTCAGACAGATCCCACACTCACTACGCTCAACTTGACTCTTCCGAGGCTGTGGCTTGTAGCAGAGATGGATTAGACTTACCTACCAGTCTGCAGCCCAAGGTATTTGATGCTATCTTGGTTTGGATTGTTTTCCTTTTAAGTTGATGCCTGAAAACATGTGAGAAACATCTGAATCTGAAGGGGAAAAATTAGTTCCCAGTTGACAGTGCTAGTCCCTCCAGACTGCAGTACGCACAGGGTTGTGGAGCCAGAGCTTCCTGGTTGTGGCTGGGCTTGGCAGCAGCCATGGTAAAGGTCCATCAGAGATACACTTCAGCTTTGAGAAAAGCATCATTTTTCAGAAACATTTCAAAGAAAGTATCTCAGGTTCAGTGAATCAGCATTTTCTAACCAAAATATATTTCATGAGGAAATGTTTAACCAGGTCTATTTATGTGAAAGGGTAACAGCTTTGTGAAGTGTAAAACCAGCCTGCTGCCTGTTTTAAAACAATTGCTAGACTCAGGGAAATTCACTTGGGTTTTGTGTGTTAGCCAGTGCAAATGTCTCATCTTCATTATGGTTTTCTAAAGTATCCTGGCTACATTAATTTTCATTAGATCATGGTGCCATTTCTGAGATCTTCAGACATATACATAGACTTACTTCTCATTTTTAGGGATTCTTCATGTTTTTATTAGGCAGACTTCCTGCCACTGTAGAGCTATATCTGACCTTCAGTAAATAATTATGTGAAGTAGAAAAAGAGACCAGCACAAACACTGAATTCTGTTAGGGCTACTTTTGAAAACAGTAAGGTAAGCAGTATAGGGTTAGGCTCTGTTGAAACATAAATGATGTATCAAAAATCAAGGGGTTTCCTTTCAAGCCTTACCATTAACATATTTGGGAATCAGAAAATCTTTTAACGCACAGCAAAAAATAATGCAGAGGGAAAAGAAACTCTGACATCAGTAATTACCAAGGCAAGGCATTAGTCTCTGTGAAATGTTCTTGAGGTATTAAAGTACTAAAATTAGTGGCTCTCTTGGTAAAAGAAGATAGCTTGTTCATCAGATATAATTGCCAACAACACTGTTTGGATGGTGCTTGCCACCAAACTGGAGAAGAATATAAGCTTTCTCTTAGTCTCTTACTCTAGCTTGCACCCACAAGTTATTTCCTGTAGTAAACAAAAAATTATTTTGGTGAAAGTATGACAGACGTCCTAAGAATTCAAGTGAAGTCATAAAAAATTATGATTCTACTTAAAGCTTTAATGAAGCCAAGAAAACGTATGTATGTGGTCAGCCATCTTTCTTTCAGAAATTCTGTCACTGATTTATTTTGTTTCTGTTGCTGATGCATTTCAAAACAACACAAATTTTAATTTGATGCTATTTATTCTAGGAATGCACAGTGTCTGGGATTCGGTCACGCTCCTATTCCTGCTCTTCGCCCAAAGGTTTATTAGGAAGACCTCGCATTCCTCGGGACTTCACAGTTGGGGATTCGAATGAAGGTCAGGGCTTTGCACCTGTACAGCCTCATCTTGTGCCTACCTGATTCAGGCCCAGTGCTGATGGCTTTACTCAGGCCTGTCCTGCACACAGACCTTGCCAATGCTCATGAAAGCAGGGTTTGGTTGCCTTCAGGTACCCCTGCCATCATCCCTTACTCTTCTCCTGTCTAGTGCCCCATCGTGCCCTCCTCTGATACAGCAGCTGGTCCTTGGGAGGGCACACAAACTGGGAGAGCCTTAGTCAGAAAAAGTAATGCAGGCTAGGGCAGTAATCTTCTTTTTGGAAGATCCTTACCCCGGCTTCCTACTGGGTGCCCAAGAGAGACTGCAAGGAAGCTCAGGATGGCACAAAAGAGGCATCAAAGAGGGTGGGTGGCCCCAGCTTCCCATAGATCTCTCAGAGTCTCTGAAACATGGATGGGCTATTGTCACCTCCACAGGCTGGGGAGCAAACATGACCCTCTCTCTCAAGTGGAGTCAGAGATGTCTCTGCAACAAGCTTGTAGTTTTTTTACAAATTGTTTCTAACATGCTTTATTTCTAGACACAGTTTCATATTTGGAAGACAATTCATACTTTTACAATGAGCATATGGGTTTGTGGTGGTTTTAGCCTGGCTGTCAGCCAAACACCAAACAGCTGCTCGCTCACCCTCCCCAAATGGGATGAGAGAGAGACTCAGAAGGATAAAAGTGAAGAAAACTCGTGGCTTGAGATAAAAGCAATGTAATAATTGAAATAAAATAATAATTAAAATAGTAATGATAGTAACAGCAATAATAGAATATACAAATGAGTGATGCACAGTGCAGTTGCTCACCACTTGCCAACCAATGCCCAGCCTGCTTCCTGGCTAGAGATCTTGGAACGGAGATAATCCCAAAAGCCCCAATACTGGAAGAGCAAGAGAGCCCAAGAGATGCCTAAGAGATCCCCCACCTTTCTGACCTACCCTCATTTATATACTGAACATGATGTTATATGATATGGAATGTCCTATTGGCATATCCAAATGCCAGTTTGTGTTTGTTAATTTTACTATGCCTCCTGAGTCATTTGAACCTGCAAACTAGCAAAACACAGGGAGGTTGGAAAGTCCTTCATCTTCCAGCGACAGTTGAAAACTTTAGTATGTTATCAACGTTCTTCTCATAACACATCCCATAATGAAACCAAAACACAGTGCTATTATAGCTACTAAGAAGAAAATAAGCTCTATCTTAGTGAAACTAAGACAGGGTTATATTTGAAAACCGTGCAGAGTGTTCAAGCTCAGGTTGGATGGGGCTTTGAGCAACTTGATCTAGTGAAAGATTCCCCTGCCTGTGGCAGGGGGGTTTGTATTAGGTGATCCTTGACGGTCCCTTCCTAACCATTCTGTGATTCTATGACACTTAAATGCGAAGACACACAAAAGTTGTGGAAATGTTATTGTTAACTTTGAAACCAGTTAAGAAATTCAAAAGCTGTTGGAAAGGTGAGATGGAGAAAGTTGATAGGCAAACATACAGTGACTACAGATGTCTTTTTTCCATAAGAAACTGTGTTAAGCAGTGCAGCAAATAACTTATTTGTCATTGCTCAAATTCACTGTAAGATTTCATGTCACCTTGTAAGGAGGAGCATGTATGGCAGCCTGCAGCATGCAGCTGTGTTGTGTTTTTCACCATTGCTTAATGTATTTATAACCATTTGTATGCAACAGATTAGGTGAGAAGACTTTGACAAAACGAGGCAGAGGAAAAAGAGAGAATTATGTCACAGAAATAGAGGATGACAGATCAGCAAAGCCATGTGGCATTTACTTAAAATTATAACAGAATTCCTTTGGTGTTGGTGTCACAGCCCATTAAGCTTCATTGTTGTTGGTGTCACAGCCTGTTAAGCTTCATCCAGGCAGCATTACCTGCTCTGACCTGATCTGGGCTCGGGCCCGTGTCCTGTGGAGAAGGTGGAAACACTTTCCTGTCCATGCTTGGGAAATGGGCAGTTCTGCAGCCCTCATGGCAGATGTGGTGTGCTGCTGGGAGGGAGGGTGTTGGTCTGCTGAGGTTCCTGGTGGTGCTTCCCTACCACCAGCACCTCCTGCCTTGTCCCTTCCTTGCCAGCATTTTAGGGAGACAGGAGCATTGAACAAAGTGTTTGGCAGCTGGCCGTGGTGACTACCGTGTGGGGCAGGCAGAGCTGCGTTTGCTTTGAGCAGTCACTTCTTGGTCCAAGAAGACAGGTCAGATAGTTCATCCTGATCTCTGTGGGCTGTAGTGGGATTGTGTCTGGGTCCCCACAGGTGTCTGTGCACTGAAAACCTGCCCCTTCCCCTCTGCCCAGCTGCCAGCACTGGGGCTTAGCTATGCGAGGGAGAGGTGCAGCTGACCTTCTGCGTGTCAGTGAAACACAAGCCAAAGCAGATGAATGCAGAATGGCAATAGGACAGTCTTTCTTGCACAAAGTATGAGAAAAATTGGGAAATCATCATCCATTTCCAATGGGAGCTTTTCAGTATGCTCAGGTTTAAAACAACTACCTCCTTTTATTCAAGAAGGTGTTACCAGGCTGTAACAGTAAAGGATTTGTCCCTGCTCTGTAGATGGTGTGCTCACGAACAGTGGTCGATCCCTCCTTCAGGCTCTTTCACACTCTAAGTCAGTGTCTCTGCTCCACCCTTGTAGTAAGTACCTCAATGCCAACCCCATGGCACTATTTTGCATGAAGCTCTCTTCATTTCCCATGGGTACATGGCCTTTGTTTCTTCTGAATGCATCCTGCGGCACAGGTTATGCGTTGCAAGTAATGGAAATGCCCTTTTAGTCTTGCTGCTTCTTTGGTAAATAATCTAGCTCTCACTAACCTGAAGTCTCCACTTCTCTGAACACATGCTGATTCAGTGAAGCGTGCTTAAGTTTGTATCTCACTTTAAAGAAGTCATAGTCTGATGTTTTGACTTAGGCAGGTGTTTAAGTATCTTTCTGAACCATACCTGTGGTAGCTTTGCACAAAATATCTGCAAAATGGAACGGCTTTTAATATGGAAATGGTAGAGTGGTCTCTATTGTTTTGGGTTTTTTTCTCCCAAAACAACCCAGCTGAATTATTTGTCTTTCATTCTGCTTTTGTCGAAAAATATCTCCTTGACTCCTCTCTATAGTTTCTAGGATGTAAACTTGTAATGCATTATACATCCTGTGCAGTACATAGCCTAGTAATATACTTCTTTATGTAGAGAGATTTGAATTTTTTTTAATACTGTAGATTAAGCTGCATAAAACAGGTAATTGCAAATGTTGGAAGAACGTCGTTAAGATATTTTACAACAAATTATGTAAAAAGCAAAACAGAGTGTGAATCGTTCAAGTGTGGGTTGTCAGGAAAAGCAAAAGAAATATTTTTTTTTATTCTTAAAAACAGGCTGTTTGCAGAAACTGACATTCACTGATATCCCATCTCAGTTCTGGTGGATTCTGTCAACTAAACAAAGCTTGGTAGGCAGTGGTCTTACCCTAGGAAAAACTCCTTCTAACGTGTGTACGGTTTTGCTTTCCTAATTTTCAAATGACATTGCAAGCCCTTAATGACAAGCTTATGGCCTAGGAATAGGCCTGGAGGTCGTGCATTTCAAATAAACATGACAACCTTGCAAACTGAATGCCTGATAACTGTTTTTGTCTTGCAGAGAGAGCGTACAGTCTGCCTGAGCAGTCCCGAGAGAAAAGGTATGGGTACTTGTGGCACCTGTGTTTTGAGGTGCTGGGCGCAGGTCTGTGCAAGAATGCCATCTAGAGAGCACGGGAGTGAAGAGGCCTCGGCACCCCTCACAGCTGGGTTTTTAGTAGTGGTTTTGGGGGAGCGCTCCCTGCCCAGGGGATCTGTATGCCCACGCTGAAACCCTGTGCTAAGCCCAGCCCAGCTCTCTCTGTGCTCTCCTCACCGCCCACGTCCCACGGTGGGGATTTGCTGGACACCGCTGCGGGACACACTCTTGTCCCTTGTAGGAACGTGCAACACTGTCATAAAAACAAGGGAGCTTTTGATACCAACTGTGAGCTAGGCAAGCTTGTAACACATCACACATTTGGAGCACTCCATGGGCTAGTGTTACTCCTTTTTATAAAGAGGGATTGCAATCCTTTTAATAACATCAGCTAAACCTACAATAAAATGTGTAATTGCAAATGTTAGATGAAACAAGCACCATCCAGATTCTCCTGTGTTTTAAGGGACTACTCCCACTGGAATGAGGTTTTTATCCTGGTCTCTGTTTTAGGATACAGGAGGAAGAATGGAATAGATATACTGTACCCTCAAAAAATGAGTCTGAAAAATGTAAAGTGAGTCGAACTTTCAGCTTTCTGATGAACAGGATGACCAGCACACGGAATAAATGCAAGGTAATTTGGGATTTATGTCTATGTTATTATGCATAGTTATGTCCCTGTAATTAAATGAATTATATATAAGAATCTATATTTTTAATGTAAAGACAAGTTGTTTATTACAAAACCACATGAGCAATAGGAAGAAACTTTTATCATTATTTTTTACATTTTAAAACATATGCAGGATACCCTGTAATGGCCTTCATGTCAAAACCCAGCTTTCCTTTTAAACATCAGCATTAGCTGAACAATATAAAATATTTCCCTTGCAATTTTTTGGATGTTATTAATACATCATTTGACGATTTAGCCAGAGTTTAAATGTATGACTTGCCTTTAAAAATAATTATGTTTGTTAAATAAAATTAAGAGATACAGGCCTGTACTTGCAATTACTCTCAATAAGTAATTAAGTCTGTAACTTGTACACTGGCACATTATCAGTTGAATTAGCCTTACTTGAAGTTAATGGGACATTTTGCTTGCAACACTAATGAGTAAGCACTGCTTAGTATTAAAAGAGTTTCAGATTCAGGGTCTACACAGTCAAATGTACATACTATCGGAGGTAGATTAGAACATTTGTGGTTTAATTTTGAGACATCTGAAATTTAGATTAATGGCATCAGTTAGCAGCTTGAGAGATGGATTTGGCCTGCAGGATCTTTCCAACTGGCCTTTGGCAGTTTTGTAGGCTTTTGTATGCCCTCCTCTGCCCCCGGGTATCCTAACATATGTGAATGTGAAGATGGTAGGCTGAGTCGTGAACTGGCTGTGAATGAGTGTGTCTGGTCCAGCAGCCTGTGTCTGTGTGATCTCCTAAAGAGTAACTACCAGGGCTGCTCGGAGAAATGTAGACTCACACCTACAGGAGTACTGTAAAAACAGGCAGAATTTATTAAATTCATTAATACTCATTAAATTTTTTTTTTTCTAGCGTCTTCTAAGAACTAAAGACAAGTTGTCTACATTTGCATAACTGCAGCTTTAACTGCAGAAGCACGAGTTTGCATGTGTGCCTCAGGGAGATGTAGGCATTGATACTAGTTTGTGTGTACGGCCAGTCAATAACACTTCTTAAATTTTATTTTCTAACTCTTCCCTTTTTGTAGCTTTATAAATGTATTTCTGCCAGTCTTCCTTGATAATGCTTGCTGGCTTAGCTGACAGTAAAAGAGATGCCTGCATCATTTTAGGACTTCAACAATGTTGGATGTAATAATATAGTATACTGTTACAAGCCTTCCAGGACAGGGAATAAATCTTATAGAATAATTTGCTCTTTAAGGGAATGTTTTAGTGTTTTTAAGATTTAATCGCTTTATCTTCTTTTCTAATGTCCTTTTTTTTTTTTTTTTCTCCTGCCTGTTGGTGATGAAGACAAAAAATAAAGACACCAAAGATAAAGAGAAACTGAACAGGCATAATTTTACAAATGGGACTTTTTCAGGAGTTATCCCATGTATGGCCTGTGAAAAGGCCCTCCTAGGAAGGGAGTCACTGCAGTGTTCTTGTAAGTAGTTTTTGGCTTTCGTATGTGAACTTACAGTGCTTCAAATTCTGCTTTGAGATCCTGGTTCAGTGTTTTGTTTCAAAAAGAAACCTTGCCTTGATTTGGATGTTTCTCCTTTGTGTAATGAGCTGAAGTTGGCAAGGGAGAGGGAGGATGGGCAGCAGGTGACAGCTTTAGGGAGGGACCATGGCCATCTCCTAGCCCCAGCACATTAGGCAAAAACTTCTTCCTAGCCAGGGACTGTAACATCAAAGCCTCCTCAGGGCTATGTTAGTAAGTGAACCTGGAGGTGGGAAAAAGAGGAAGCCTGAGAGTAACATTTTCTGCAGGCTGGAGACCACGTTCAGTGCCAGGCTTTGAAATGTGCCTTCTTTTTCAGATTGCAATGTGGTTGTACATAAGAGCTGCAAGGAGTGTGCTCCTCTGTGCACCAAGGTAACCTTCTATACTGCATTGTTCTTACTAGAGTGTATCTTCTTCCTAAGGGGTTGGAAACATCGTGAAGGAAAGAAGAAAGTACACACAGGCTGCCCAGACACAGTGTCTGTATGCAAAGGGCTGCAAGGATGTCAAAATGTCTAATTTGAGCAAGCACTGATCTTGAACAACAATTTTTAGACAAGGGTCAAAAATTGGTTTAAAGAGAGATTTCTATTTTTGAAGGGTCACAAACTCAAATTGCAAAATGGTGTACCTGGAGGGATAAAAAAGGGATTAAAAGTAAAGCCTTCTCAAAACCACAGGTAGCCCCTTGTGTAGAAGGGGGGTTCCTGTATGTTTTGAGTAATGCAAAGCAGAAATGGAAGGGACTTGCAACTGGGGAGGAGAATTGTGGCAAAAAGGGATGGCAAGGGCTCATTTTGGGGCTTTTTTTGGCTTTTCCAAGCTGGGCAAGCGGCTGACCTCTGCTGGGGACCTGCAGCTTGTGGTCAGGCTGTTCTGTTAACAGACAACACTGTGAATAAACCACCTTGGACTCTGGTAATCTGCAAAACCAGGGCTCTGCCGCAGTCTCCATCCTCCAGCATTATGACCAGTAACAGGTATAAAGCATTAACAACTACAGACACCCTTGAGCAAAGTCCACAGGGAGCAAGCAGAAGACCAACTACTTCAAGACTTTGTGTGGCTATGGGTGGATCCCCCTGCACCCCTCCAGGAAAACCCACATGCTTGAATAAACTAAAGTTGCAGGGGGAGGGGAACCTCAATCCACCCTGCTCCTGCCAGCTTGGTGATACTGCTAGTAACAGGTGCCGAGAGCCTGGAGAAGGATCACAGGTAGACTGTGAGCACCAGAGGAGCAGCACAACGCAATTCCAGCTGCTCCAGCCAGTAGGTCAGCTTCATTGCAGGCCCAACTCAAATGCTCTACACTGTGCAGCATGGGAAATAAACAAGAGGAGTTGCAGACCTGTGCAAAGCTGCAGGGCTGTGACCTGATTGGAATCATGGAGGCATGGTGGGATGGCTCCTATGACTGGAGTGTTGGAATGGAAGGATACAGGCTCTTCAGGAAGGACAGGCAGGGGAGTTGAGGAGGGGGTATCGCCCTCTATGTCAGTGACCAGCTGGAGTGCATGGAGCTCCACCTGGGGGTGGGTGAGGAGCTGACTAAGAGCTTATGGGTCAGGATCAGAGGGGGGTCAGGATCAGAGGGAGGTCAGGGACAAGCAACATCACTGTGGGGGTCTGCTGCAGGCCGCCAGACCAAGAAGACAGAGTAGATGAGGGCCTCTATAGACAGATAGGAGCAGCCTCACATTCACAAGCCGTGGTCCTCAGGAGGGACATCAACCACCCCGATATCTGTTGATATTGCAGAGCTTAAGCACTCCAGGAGGTTCCTGGAATGTGTTGATGACAACTTTCTTCTCCAAATGATTGAGGAGCCAGTGAGGAAGGTGCCATACTGGACCTTGTTCTCACCAACAAGGAGGAGCTGGTGGGGAATGTGAAGCTCAAGGGCAGCCTTAGATGCAGTGACCATGAAATGGTGGACTTCAAGATCCTTAGGGCAGGGAGGAGGGTTTGCAGCAGGCTCACTACCCTGGATTTCAGGAGAGCAGACTTTGACCTTTTCAGGGACCCGCTGGGTAAAGTTCCATGAAATAAAACCCTGGAGGGAAGAGGGGCCCAAGAAGGCTGGTTAATATTCAAGGATTGCCTCCTCCAAGCCCAGGAGCGTTGCATCCCAACAAAGAGGAAGGCAGGCAAAAACACCAGGAGGCCTGCATGGATGGACAAGGAGCTCTGGAACAAACTCAGAGACAAAAAGGAAGCCTATAGAGGGTGGAAGGAAGGACAGGTAGCCAAGGGAAATTTTGCAAGTAGCCAGGGATCAGGTTAGAAAAGCTAAAGCCCTGGCAGAATTGAATCTGGCCAGGGACATTGAGGCCAACAAGAAAAACTTCTACAGGCCTCCTGTAGGGAAGGGAAAATGTAGACCCCCTCCAGAAGGAAATGAGAGACCTGATCACCTGGGATATGGAGAAGGCTGAGGTATTCAGTGACTTCTTTACCTCAGTCTTTACTATCAAGCACTTGAGTCACATCCCCCAGGTTGCAGAAGACAGAGGCAGGGACTGGGAGAATGAAGAGCTGCCCACTGTAGGAGAAGATCAGGTTTGAGAGCATCTGAGGAACCTGAATGTGTGCAAGTCCATGGGATCTGAATAGGTGCATCCACAGGTCCTGAGAGGACTGGCCGGTGGAGTTACCAAACCACTGTCCATATTTGAGAAGTCCTGTCAGTCTGTGGTGAAGTTCCCATGGACTGGAAAAGGGGTAACATGACCTCCATTTTTTAAAAGAGGAACAAGGAAGATCCGGGAAATAACAGGCCAGTCAGTCTCACTTCTGTGCCTGGAGGGCCGCCAGGATGATCAAAGGGCTGGAGCACTTCTGCTATGAGGACAGGCTGAGAGAGTTGAGGCTGTTCACCCTGGAGAAGAGAAGGCTCCGGGGAGATCTTATAGCAGCCTTCCAGTACCTGAAGGGGCTACAGGAAAGCTGGGGAAGGATTTTTCATAAGGGCAGTTAATGACAGAACAAGGGGAAATGGGTTTAAGCTGAAAGAGGGCAGGTTTAGATTAGATATTAGGAAGAAAATCTTCACTGTGAGGGTGGTCAGACACTGGAACAGGTTGTCCAGAGAAGTTGTGGATGCCCCCTCCCTGGAAATGTTTAAGGCCAGGTTGAATGAGGCTCTGAACAACCTGGTCAAGTGGAAGGTGTCTCAGCTTATGGCAGGGGGGTTGGAACTAGTTGATCTTTTAAGGTCCCTTACAACCTATACCATTCTATGATTCAGTGATTCTATGACTTTAGAAGGTGACCTAGTCCATCTCCTCACCCTTGTGCAGGCTCACTTCTAGGTAGCAATTTGGGCAGGTGTTTGTCTGACCTGTTCTGGAAAATCTCTGGAGGAGAAGGCTTCACAGTGTACCTAGACAATCACTTACAGTGTTCAGCTACTTCTGCAAACAGGTCAAAATCAGCACGGAAGCTGATGGATGCTGTGTAGGAATACATGCATGGTGAGGTTATCTTGACAGAGACATCATTTTCAAAAACAGATGTGGAACTCTTCTGCCCTCATGTAATATAATGGGACTTGCAGAAAAGTCCACTATGGAAGGGGCATCAATTCTGCCCCTGAGACCCAGGCTTCCTCAGGTAGTGCCCTGCCACAATGCTTCTAGCTTATTTTGAATATAAAGCCCTGAAAGTGAACTCCTTTTCTTGTAGCCTTCATAGGCAGTATTCATATAAAGAAAGTAGAATGCTGTAACTCAGTGACTCGGTTTAGAATAAACAGATTCAATTTTCTATTGCAGTAGTCATAATATCATTCTACTTTGAATATTGTTATCTACCAATAACTAATGGACTTGGATTTATTAGTTATTGGTAGAAATTAGGACCATAATTTAAGACCACTTTCTTGAAGCCCTTTTGTGTGATGATATGTGGAAGTGAGTTACTGACTTGACTATTCAGTGTGTTATCAGCTATGATTTCATTGCAATTTCATAAAATTCTTCTTTTTTCAGAAATCCCAGGAGAGGTCCCATAATAAAAACAAACCCCAAGCTGGTATAACAAGTAAGTGAGGAGGTGTAAACCTAGCACTTCTAAGTTAAACCTTGGTTAAAAATCACGGGACTGACAACATGAACTTTCCTGCATCCTTTGTGTGTTTCTATTTTTCATTTAGTATCTGTGAGAAAGTGTGTGTGTCTCTAATATGAATAGGATTTTTGGAAGAAATTACCGTTGAATTAACTTTCCTTCTACTAAAATTAGTGGGAGTTTTACTACATTTTGTTTTCAGTGAAAATGAAAATCAAAAGTAGTCAGTTCTGTCTTGTGCTTTTGAGTATGTCATTTACTGTACGCACAAATATTTGGGTCTTCTATGTTCAGGTTGCAATGCTAGAGCATGTATGATTTGATATTGCTTTCTTCTCAATAATATCCATGCTGGAGCCACAACTACTTAAAAGGACGTTGTAGCGAGACAGGTGTGCGTCTCTTCTCCCAAGTAACAAGTGATAGGATGAGAGGCAATGGCTTCAAGTTGCACCAAAGGAAGTTGAGATTGCATGTCAGGAAAAATTTCTTCACTGAAGGGGTTATCAGGCACTGGAACCGGCTACCCAGGGAAGTAGTTGAGTCCATCCCTGGAGGTATATAAAAGACAGGTAGATTAAGTGCTCAGAGGTATGGCTTAGTAGTGGACGGGTATGGTTGGACTCAACTCATATGGATGATCTCAAAGGTCTTTTCCAACCAACCAATTCTATGATTCTATTCTACTTTGCCTACAAGCTCATCTTTATATTCCATGAGAGAGCATCATGGTCTTGTACCACCGAGTGGACATTCTTGATACCCAGTATAGGTCAATATGAACACCAGACAGCACACTTACATTTCTCAGTGTAAGTGTGCTGTTGATGACATATTCTACATTGTTGTTCAAAATGTTGTGTTGTGCTTTGCCTCACAGATTCCCAGCCTGGAGACATTTCGCAGATGGTGCTCTACCCAGTGCATCCTTCTTCCTCTGTGCCTATTGGACTGTCTGCTGGAAGGAAGGAAGCCTCACAACAGTCCCACTTCCTGTCCAAAAGTGTCCCCAGTGCCAGTTTTGAAAGGTAGAGGGTAGCTGCCAGGGGACTATGCTAATATGTCATTCAGCATTTCGAGGAAAATGTAAAACATTGAATAAATGTGTTGTTGTTTTGTTTTGGTTTTTTTGTTTTTTTCTGCTGTAGAAGATTCACACCATTTTTTGAACAAGACTCTGAGAGCAGCATCTGGAGGTCCAAGTCAGGGTCTGAAGAGATGTTACAAGCATTAGGGACCTTTTCTTCAGTAGATCCTTTTATGGTGGAAGGTGAGAAGTATTGCACAGATGTTGCTTTTTATAACTGGTATTGGAAAGTGAAAAATATAAAAACCTCCTTAGCTGGTATAGGAAGCCACTTCATCTGCTGAAAGAAGAGCACCTATTTTTGATAATTACAATTGTGTCCCTCATTAAAATTATACAATCAGACACATTAGTCTTAAAAATACAACTTTTCCTTTCTTCTTTGTAACTAACTTTTAAATAACTTTTAGAATATTTTTGTAGTTAGAATTTTGAAATAACAGGGGTAAATATATTTGGCATCTGCATTTGCAGAACCAGAACAGCAATATACTTTTCTTCTGCACTCATCTAATCATCTCCATTGACAAAGTACATTACAAAATAAAAACCTACATCACTTGTATTTCATCAGTAGCCCCAAAATCTTGTCTTCCACTGGTGACCTACTCTTCTAAAATGGCTACATATCCTTTTGAAATGAATAGAAATAGGCTTTTTCTGTAGCTGGGTGTGAGACTGAATTTCAAAGCTGAAGGGCATTCATTCACAAAGGATAGTGCAGATAACTCTCACTGGACATTTACTTTTGAAAATGTTGGAGTTTATTTTAAAATTGTAAAAAGTTTCTTTAAGGAAAGAAGTATAGAAAGGATTTAATCTAAGAAAAGAAGGGTGTTCTTTTTCATTCTCCTCCCCTGCTGTCATGTTTGCATTTCAACACTTCGGTAATGCTATTGATATCTGGCAAGCTTCTTTGTTGTAAAGCTGCTGCCAATGTTTGCAGAAGCCTTGTCTATAATTCATCCCTGTGATGTGTTCCCTTTGCTATATGAATAGATCTTCATGTGCAAAGGGACTTCCTTTACTGTTCACGTGCCTGGTGTTAATGAGATATACGTTTTGTCATAGATGATGTGGATTTATCTCAGTGGACTGATCTCCACACAGATACACAAGAGTTTGAGGCAGAGTCCTGGAGTCTTGTTGTGGATCCAGCGTTCTGCAGCAAGCAAGAAAAGGATGTCATCAAGAGGCAGGATGTCATTTTTGGTCAGTATTTCAAAGCTTCGTGTAAGTTTAAAAACCATTTGACATGGAAAATAGACAGGGAACCTACACGTTTCATGTCCAGAAGAATGAATGCTTCTACTGAAAATAATAATAAGGTTCAAATAACTTTTTTGTCACAAATTACAGTGTGTTCTATAACTAAGGAAAGGGAGAATAGTGGCTGCCAGAGACGTGTCTATCCTGTTCATGGAACGGTTGAGTTTGGAAGGGAACTCATCCAATCCTCAGCTCAAGTACTTGCAACCCCAACTCGTTCAGTAGGGTGCAGTTGAGAAAACTGTGACAGAGACAGATGAATTAAGTCTTCTACTGACATAATCTATTAGGTTTCAGGCTCACACAGAAAAAATAATTATGACTGTATATTTGAATGCTGCTAAAATCTATCTTAGAAGGTGTGCAAAATGTTGAGGTGATTACTGTACTATGCTGTTTTCTTTTATACTGCAGAGCTGATGCAAACAGAGGTGCATCACATCCATACCCTGTTCATTATGTCTGAAATATTCAGGAAAGGGATGAAGGAAGAACTCCAGCTGGACCACAGCACAGTGGACAGAATATTCCCCTGTTTAGATGAGCTGCTGGAGATGCACAGGCAATTCTTCTGCAGAATGAAGGAGAGACGGCAGGAATCGTGTGAGGCAGGGAGCGAACGTAATTTTGTCATCAGCAGAATTGGAGATATACTTTTGCAGCAGGTAGAGGCATCAGCTCTGTTAATCCTTTATACACTCAAGGTTCCCAAATTACACAATTTGTTGACTTTAAAACTTTTGTGGGCAAAAAGAGGGCTATGGTTGCCTCATAATTCAAAGGCTGTCCCCTCCAGATCATTGCAGGGTGAAATAACAATGAGAGAAAACCATTATTGACAGGTAACTCTGATGAACTTCGGATGAACTTCTACCTGTATGGTTCAAGGGACAAGGAAGGTGTTAAACTTGGTCCTGTTCATGGTAAGAAGACTGCTGCCATCATACCGTGGACTGCAAAAAATGGAAGCAATGGCTTCACTTTTTTAACAGCTGAGCAGAGGTGTGAAGAATTGACTGATGATGGAAAAGAAACTGTGTTCGTTTCCTGTAATGATCTGGCATGGTGCATCTCGAGTTGCCCCTCACTAGAGAAGGGATGGTCACAGCGTGACTGTAGAACAGCTAACTAACTGCTTTCTGGTCACGCTTCAGTTCCTTGGAATCAGGAGAGTGTGACTTTTCACCTTCAGTCTGGCAGTTTTCATTCCACTGAAATAAAGAAGCTGAACCATTATCTTGTGTAGAAGTGGTGTGGAGATTAGACAAATAAGGCAAATAAGCCTCAAAAAGATTGTGTTTGCAAAAAGGTGAAGGAGATGCTGTTACAATAATTGTTCTAGCTGTTATTGGCAAGGCTGTAGTGGAGGTCACTTGTGCTCTCTCCAGGCTACACTCCTCATCTTGCTTGTAAAAACAGGTAGCCCATTTTCATTCTGTTGCGACAGGCCCTGCTAGTGAAATTCAGAGAGCTTGAGAAACAAGTAGCATAAAAGTTCTGTATTTGTCCAAAATACATTAATTAAAGGTATACACTTTTCTGTTAGGTGCAATATTGAGCACAATTCACTTATTAATTTCTTCAGTTTTCAGAAGAAAATGCAACTAAAATGAAGAAAATATATGGAGAGTTTTGCAGCCATCAAAAAGAAGCTGTTAATCTCTTCAAAGAGTTGCAACAAAACAAGAAGTTCCAGAATTTCATTAAAGTAAGTTTACATGGAAATGTGATCATTATTGGCAAAATGCTCAGGAAAAAGATACGTAGCTTTTACTTAGATTTAGGATTGAAATTATATTCAGTAACTCACTTTTAATAGACAGTAAAAATGGCAAAGTTTTTTCCTTCTTAACCAGTGAGGTGATAAATGACATTTTTCTTTCGTATTTTAGAAAACTTTGGCATCTAGTGTGTATTACACACATGTTCCTGTTACAGTATACCCCATCCCTCAGGGCAGCAACTGTTCCTTGGGGATGGTTCAGATAACACAGCATTTTGTTTTAGCTTATTCTAATGCATTTAGATCATATTTCTTATTAGTCAATTGGTGGTTTAATATGTATTTACTGCTTAGGGTATATGTTTGTGTCTGTGCAGCTGAGAAATAGTAACCTGTTGGCGCGACGCCGAGGAATCCCCGAGTGCATTTTGCTTGTCACCCAGCGAATCACCAAATACCCTGTTCTGGTTGAAAGGATATTGCAGTACTCAAAAGGTGAATAAAAGCTAAAGTATTGCTTCATGTCTGTAATTTTGAGGCATTTCTAATATAAGGAATATGCAGTGCTACAATATAAGAAAAGATTAAATTCACTGCTCTGTAGAGAACCAGGACAACATAAATACTGTTCAGACAAATGCCACCTAAACAGGGTCTTAGCCTTGTCAAGGCTGGTCTGTGAAGATTTCCCATATTCCAGCCGGGTAAGCCATAGAATTCCAGAAGAGGATACTTGTTTTAGGAAAAGATCTTGACTAGAGGATGTGAACTAATTCAGGCATGCATCTGCAGCTTCTTTTAAATTAATTCTGGTGGAATCTTGTAAGTAGGGCTAGGCAAATGTTTTGTAAATTACTCTCCAGTTTTTCAAACAAAGCTTGAATTACCTCTGGAATTTTGTAGAGCATTTTAGAAATACTAATAACTTGCAGATACTGCCCCTGAAATGGGCAATTATTGAGCATTGTGGAAAGTTTCATATCCAGATGCAAACCTGATGTGCTTACAATCCTGTTTCAAGGGATTTCTTTTTACTTAGCCAGAAGAGTAATGTACTATATTATTTACTTTGCCACTAAATTTTTTTAAATGCTGTCAGCTCATAAATATGTCAGAAACTATTCTGACTGTTGTTTTGACTAATGAATAAATGTCAGGTACATGCCATCTTTTTGGCAAGTCAAATAGGCAAGTCAACCAAAGGTAGATGCCTCTAGTATTTCTAGTAAATTGATTGCCAGGTTCAACTTAAAATGACATATTTATCAATTTAAGCTTTGCATCATGTTGATTGTTCCCAGAAAGTAAGGAATTATATCGTCTCTTGAATACGCTGACTACCATCATGTTGTTTATTTTTTGTTTCACACAGAAGGAACAGAAGAACATAAAGACCTGTGCAAAGCCCTTCATCTAATTAAGGACATGATTGCAGCAGTAGATTTGAAAGTGAACGAATATGAGAAAAAGCAAAAGCTGTTGGAAATTCTCAGTAGAACTGAAAACAAAACATATACAAAGCTGAAAAATGGTCATGTTTTTAGGAAGCAAGACTTGATGAAGAAAGAGAGAATTCTTCTTCATGAAGGTCTAGTGTACTGGAAGACAGCGACCGGTCGTTTTAAAGGTATTCCAATGGAGCAGTAAAGTCCTTTAACTCTTTATTTGCCAGTAACATGAAGATTGTTTGATTTAAGAATGAAATTACTTTATAATGCTGTATTGCAAACACAAATTTCTGAGATAATGTATTGAGAACATGCCACTGATTGCTCAAAGAGTAGTCCCAGAAGCTGCCATGGTTTGTAATGTAATTTTTGTAATTGTAATAATTGTAATGTAATGTAATTTTGCCATGGCAATCCACTGTATATCTGGGTAAGAAGACAATTTCACATACAAAGCCATCAGCTACATTTCTTCTTCCAACAGGTTGGAAGAATCAATCAGTTGATTGATTTGCAGTTTCATCCCATAACATAGAGTTTTGACTTGTACATTGATATTGTTCACAGTACTGGCCATTGAAGATAACGCATGAAAATAACGTGGTATTCTGCAGTGGTACTGAGACATCTGCAGTGGAAAAGAAAATCTGAAGCCATATTTAGCTGGAGCCTGATTTTTACATGCAAGCCCAGTATTTGATTTTTGGTGTTAATCACATGTAGGAGTTGGGCTTTAAGCTTACTGATATTTACTGAAAAACTTTATAAAGCTGTATGTTCATCGTTATTCCAGAAATACTTCTACTAGCATAATACTGTGCTGTGAGTATATGTCGCAGCATAGGCGAACCAGAATTTCTGTGGGCTGGTCTTTGCCAGGTTGCCTGTGAGTGGCCTGGGGAAGCTGTTCTGACACTGGAGTGAGGATGTTTTCTTTCCCTGGGCCAGTGCTCCAGCACGGTGCTGCAGGAGGTTAGATAACAAATGTGGTCTTTCCTGGGAGATACAAAGTGATAGCATGCAGTTGCTTCATGCAGACCATAGGGTACTCCAGATATTTCCTGTTTAGTTTACTGTAGAATTCTGTGGGATATTTATTGATTATGGCGTCTCCTTTTTAAAAATTAAAATAATAAATTAACTATAATTGTAATGACAAATTAAAAAACATTATTTTCCTTTTCTCATTTTAAGATACCTTAGCTCTGCTTCTAACTGATGTACTACTATTCTTACAAGAAAAAGATCAAAAATACATCTTTGCAGCTGTTGTAAGTATATTATCAGATGTCTGAATATTGCACTTTTATTTGTTTATTTCTCAAAAATTAGGTCCTTTTCTAGGTTATTCCCACCTAATATTTTTTTCTAAAATCCTGGCAGTGTATTCAGAACAGTAATATGCCAGTACGTAGAAAATTAAGTTTATTTTCAAAATTAAATATTTTTTTAGGAAGAAGGATGAAAATAACAATTATGTTTTTAGTGTCATGCTTGATCTAATTATGAAGGCGTGAAGTAGAGCAGGCTCTTTCACTTATCTAAAATGAATTTTAAATTATGGTTCTGTTAAGCAAAACAGAAGAATGTAGTAGCAAACACACATTAAATGTATGAAAAATCATGGAGTGACATTCCCAAACTATATAAATGTAAACATTATATGAACACTGTGCCTCAATATCATTGAGCTTCTGGGATTTACTTTTTAGCACATGCCCTGTGCTTTACTTGTTAATAAATACTATAATGTATTTTTTAAAATAGTTTAAAAAGATGTCTGAATACTCAAAACTTGCAGCCTCTTGCACCTGGTAAGAACATATGTAGTCTGACTATTCCAGGACTAGAATTAGTACTATTAATTAAAAAATCATGCTTTTCTAAAAGTATGATGTTTTATAAGAGAGTAATTTATTATTTGGATGTGTTGTGACTGTTTCCCCAGGACCAGAAGCCTTCCGTTATCTCCCTTCAGAGGCTCATAGTAAGAGAAGTAGCCAACGAAGAGAGGGGGATGTTTCTGATTAGTGCTTCTTCTGCGGGGCCTGAGATGTATGAAGTTCATACCAACTGCAAAGAGGAACGGAACAACTGGATGAGGCGTATTCAAGATGCAGTGGAAAGGTATAGGAAAAGGCTTTTGGTCTTCATCCTGGCAGTCCAAAGCAGACAGGAGGTTGGTTGGATATTAGTGGCAGTGTGCTCTCTGTTCTGCATTGCACTGGATCCATCCTGTGAGGCTGGGTTTTCCTGTGAGCTAAGGATTCACAGACCTCAAGACCCCACCATCACTTCTGACAAACTTCCCATGTTACTTGTAGTTTCCCGCTGAATCAGCAAAACTTTCCCGCTCCCCATTAGATGTCCTTACCAGCCATTGTAAGCTTCCCTCACCTTTGCCTTTGGCACTGGATGCTTTCCAGAGTCCTGCAGGTATCCATGCAACCATTTTGGGGACGTCCCTGATCATGCCTGTATCTTTCTTGGTCTCAACTCCTTGAGAATGGCAGGGAAGGTTGCTTCTTATGGGGACCAAGCTTATGCTTAGCACAGCAAGCTTCCATGAGGACCAGCCACCCCTTTGCTGCACCCTGCAGCCTTACCAGAATTAAAAGGAGTCTTTCAGTCTGGTTTGTGTCCAGTTACTGCTTTTTAAAGAAACATACAAATAACATGCTTCTGGATTGTAGCAAAAGTTAGTGCTAATGTTGTGTTCTGTTTATTACTGTACTGAAGGTAAATACATGATGTGCAGATTTTGCTTTTTCCACCTTTTTTGTCTTTCATCTTTAAAGTTGTCCAGAGGAAGAAGAAGAAGAAGGAAAAATGAGTGAATCTGATGAGGACAGACGTATTGCTGAGGCCAAAGCATCCAGAATTCAGAAATGTCAAGGTGTGGTACCTTTCCTGCCACTTGGAGAGTGAATAAGGATGAATGAATGTGCCCACACTGACTGGTGGGTTCAGAGTGGCTTAACAGGCAGAGTCACAGCAAAGAAAGCTGGAGTGGTCTGATGGTATAATGTGAGTTTATTGAAAGAGGACTGTATTTTTTCCAAACGCTTTATATTTGTGCTACATTACCGTCAGTAAAAAAGAAAAGAAAAATGGATACTTTCAGAATAAACATTGAATTTCCCAGATTATCATCAGGGCCAGGTAATTGCACATCTGCAGAAGTAACTCAAATCTTCAGTAATTGTGTGGCTTTGTGCTTGTTTATGGATTTCATACTTTGCTGCTATTATTTTTATCTGAAAATGTAGCCGACAGGGATAAATTCTGCTTCCTTGGTTCCTCTATACCTAAATTCCACGTCTTTATACTGCTGTAAAGAGAGAAATTCCAGTAGTGTACTTACTGTAGAGAGACACAGGGAAGGGCATCCTCTGCTGAGAGCAAGTATTTTTGACATTGAGGTACTTAGTCAGCACATCTTCTGGCTGCCTGAGCCAAGTGCTTTTCCTGCATTGATTGAGTGCAGCAGGCGGTAGCTGAGGGCCCAAGAGTGCAACCAAGGCCACCTCACCGGGGGAGAGCACTGGCCTGGCCCTCTGCCGGGGTCTGTGCCAGCTTTCATTAGGACAGACTATGGGATGGATTTGGTTCCTGGCTACTTAAAAAAGACCTAGCTCGAGTTATCAATGTCTATGTGTCCTAAGGATTATAAGGGTGAATGAGGAGTGTGCTTTGTCTGCAGGATTAAAAATATTAATACAGTGTTCAATTTTGGTTGACAGAATCACTGAGTAACCAGGACCAGCAGATCTGTAGTTATTTGGAAGAGAAGTTGCATATCTATGCAGAACTGGGACATATGAGTGGGTTTGAGGATGTTCATGTAGAACCTCACCTTCTTATCAAACCTGATTCTGGAGAAACTCCACAGGCTGCTTCATTGCTGGCAGCAGCACTCAGAGAAGGTGAGTTTGCATGGGAAGAGTGGACCGGTGGCTCTTTGCACGGACAGGTAATTCAAGGTAACAAAATGTAGCCGTATTGCCTTGTGCTGTGATTCTGTCAAGTCTCAAGAACTGTCAGTGTCAAAACTTGGCAAAGGGCATTGCAGAGGAATGGTATTCGTGGATACTTTGCCTAGTTGGAAGTTCAGCTAAACTGCTAAACTCAGCTGAAGAGACTCCTGGTAAACTGAGCCATATCCAGCACAGACTGTATACTCTTTGAGAAGGACTACAAGATTTTAGCATCACCTAAAGTGAGAGCTTATTCTGTCACTTTTAATTTTCACTTTCTGTCCTGATAATGTCAATGTTGATGATGTCTCGGATTTCAGGAGTCTTCAGCTAACTGTAAGGAATTTACAATTGATTACACTGTAGGCAATTTGTGGGGATCATTTTCCAGAACTAGAATACTAGGTTCCCGAGCTGATATCAGACTTTATAGGAAAAAAGCGTTGTTCACAGTAGAGAAGGACAGAAATAGGAAGTGCTTAAGCAAATTGGATATACATGAATCCATGAGATGAGATGAGATAAATCCAAGGCTGCTCAGGGATTGTGAGGGTGCTTTATATCGTGTTTGAAAGGTCACAGTGATCAGGAGAGGTTCCTGATGACTTGGAGACGGCAAGCATCATACCTCTCTTCAAGAAGGAATATATAGGGAACTACAAAGTAGTCAACCTCACTGTTGTCTCTGGGATGGTGGTAAAGCAGATCCTTCTGGAAGCCATTTCCAAAAACGTGAAGGGCAGGGAGGTGCCTGGGAGCAGCCAGCATGGATTCATCAAGGGCAGATTGTGTCTGATCAACCTGACAGGTTTTATAATGAGAGGAGAGCAGTGCATGTGGTTTATCTTGACATTTGAAAGGCCTTCAACAGTGTCTGCACTGGCTATAGTATCCTTACTGCTGAACTAGTGAGATGAGGGTTGCATAACTGTGTGGAAAATTAGCTGGACTGCTGTGCTGAAAGGATTGTGATTCAGTAATACATAGTCCAGCTGGCAACATGTTGTTGGAAGATTCCCTTAGGGAAGGATCCTGAGACCAATACTATTCAACATATTTATTAATGAAGTTAACCAAGGGATTGCATACACTTTTGTCAAATCCATGGCTGTCGCTGTGTGAGGTGAGGTGATCAGTGTGCTGGAGAGATCTCTAAAGATTGAGAATATGGGCTAAGGGAAACCCCTAGAAGTTTGATAAAGAGCAAAGCCTGCATCTGGGATGGGTTAATCTCATGTGTTGGTACAGGCTGAGCACTGACTAGATAGAAAATAGGTTTGCAGAATTGGACCTGGGAGTCCTACTCGACAGCAGGTTGACCATGAGGCAGCAGTGTGCCCTTGCAGCAAAGAAGACCAGCTGCCTCCCAGGTTGCTACATTAGGAGGTGAGTTGCCAGCAGACTGAGGGAGGTGATCCTCTACTCACTCCTCGTGAGTTCTGTCTGGAGTGCCATGACCAGTGCTGGGCTGCCCTGGGTAGGAAAGACATTGACAAACTGGAGCCCAGCAAAGGGCACCAAGATGACTAGGGGACTGGAGCACATTGTCTGCGGAGAGGCTGAGACAGTTCGTCTGTTCAGCCTTGAGAGAAGAAGGCTTGGTGGCATCTCATTGCTGTCCTCAGCTGCCTAATAGGAGGATACAGAGAAGCCAGATTTTTTGCGCAGGCACGTAGTGATAGGACAAGAGGCAACAGGCGCAAGTTGGAACACAGGCAATTCCAAGTAAATTAAAGGAGAGTTTCTGTATCGTGAAGGTGGTCAAAAAACAGAGGTGGTTGCCCAGAGAGGCTGCGAAGTCTCCCTTTTTGGAGATGTTAAAAGCTCGTCTGTGCAAAGCCGTGAGTAACCCAATTTTGTTTGACCAGCTTTGAGTAGGGCATTGGACTAGATGACCTCTGAAAGTCCCTTCCAACCTGAATTATTCTATGATTCTATGTCATTGATTTATGCATTAAGGAGCTACTTAAGGGGCCTCTGTAATTCTTCATGTTTTTCTCTCTAGTTGAAAGTCTCCATGTTGCTGTAACAACATCGCAAGTGAGTGAAACAGACAAATCACCAGAGGAAAGTATTGAGGAATTAGGTGTGAAGCACAGATTTAGTGCCGGTGAAATCTTGGAGTCTGTTCCTGATGGTGAGTAAAATTTGATGCTTTCACATATTCAGAATGCTAAAATAATTGATGTGGGATTCGGTTTTTTTGAAAGCTTTCTCAGTCTATGGCGGAATCAATAGAAAATAATGTAATAAAAGTTGTCTTTTGGCAAATGCTCCAGTACTGTAAATTGTCATATAACTCCATTGAAGTGAGTGGATGGTTTGGATCCATTGCACCTTTTCCATACCACATGCCTGCATTCAGCAATATTGAGTCAGATTTATGTATCTCTGTATCCTTTCTTGTCATTGTTGCTCAGCTCCACAGCAAATCTGTATTGCAGTATAGTCTATTTCCCAAGTCAGCCCATTTTTGTCAGAAGTCCTGAAAACCAGGATTGACATTCCAATAATTTCCACTTTGAAAGGCAGCATGAATTTATTGCAACAAAAATGCAAATAAAATCCTGTGAACAACATTGCTGCAGAACATTTTTAGTGGTATGGCTATACTTATCTCCAGGCTTTCATAAGTGAAACACTACTAATTTTTAAGGCAGGAAAACTGGATTGTCCCACTTGTGCCATCCAGGCTTCCAAATTTGTTTTTCCCCAGGCTAGAATCCATTATGTAACTTCAAATTACGTAAATCTCTGTTTTCGGCACCCTGTGAGTAGCTGTAAAAAAAGTGTGCCCTTTGTTTCTCTAGTTAGAATATGCTTTGCAACCTTTCTCTGGCATTTTATTTGGGCTTCATTTGTTAGATGCAGAAATAAAAGAAGTGGAAGAGTCATCTGAAGTCTATCACAGTGTTGAAAAGGAAGTGGCAGGTGCCAATCTAGAGAATAAGGTATTGTAACCGCTTTTTCTTCCCGTGTTGCACATAGCACTCTGGGCACTAAGAATGTAAACGCTGTCAAAATTTTTATGGGGTATCTAAAGACTGTTCCAAAACACAAAGCATGGGATAGGCACATTTCACCCAAATCCAGATAATTCAATTTAATAGAGGTCACTGCAATTAATAATGTTTATTTAAAAAGCAATCATAAACAATCCAAGCACAGAACAATTTTTCTGCCAGACTTACAGACTGGTGGGTTGTAATAATAGCTACAGTGTTTTTGTACCACTTTTATGGGCCACTTAAAAGTCTGGTTCTCTGCTGTCATCATTCAATACATCCATCTCTATGGAGCTGACAGTAGTATTCCCTCTACTTCCTCCTCCTATTCAATAGGATGATGAAAGTCTCCTGCAATGAGAGACCTCAGCTAATGCAAGGAAGACTGACGCACTGGAAGAACTTTGTCCTGAGAACAAGCACATAAAATAGGATTTATTGTTTTACACCAACTTGCTTCAGAATTTTTAATTAAAACAAAATGGAGCGATTAGAGAATAGAAGAGGAACTGTCAATTTTTCAAAGTCCTATAACTCATAGGCAAATCTGGGGAAAAAGCAGAATCAAAAGTCAGTTCTGGGAAAAATTAGGAATGGCAAACAATGTAGCAGCAGAGTGTTAGAATAAGACTAGTATAAATTACTGTGTGGAAATAAAGTGAAATGTAGCTGTGGAATTCTTACGTGGAGAAGCAGGACCACAAAAGGAAGAAAGGGGAGAGGCAAGACCAGAAGATACATGACTTGAAATGGAAAGCAAAGCTTGCTAGAAAAGGAGTAGTGTTAGCATACTGTCTTAGCATCAGATCTGAAAGATCATGTCAGAATCAGACTTACCAGGAGGTGGCAGAACAAGCAAACAAAACAGACAAGGCAAGGGCTTTCAAGGGTGAAAGATGTTCTCCTGCCTGCTTTTGGTTAGATGCTGACCAAGCATCAGAAGGGAGAGCATTGCCTGTGCAACACGTGGGATCCCAAACAGGCAGCCGTGAGAGGTGGTCCCCATCTCCTTCTCCCTGCTCCTGCCTTGTAATCACATCTGTGGGGGTTATGAGGCACTGTGGATGCAGCCTGCCCTGGGATCTGACCATCCTCATCTCCACTGCTGCTCATTGCTCTGAACCAAGGTGCTAGGGAAAAAGTGGCAGGGAGGTGGTGGTGGCCCGCAGCACAGATTAAGCAGCTGAATATATTGCTTCAAACCTAGCTGGACTTACGGGGCTTGTGCTGAAGCTGTAGCAGTGCAGCTGCAATGCTGCTGTCACCCCAACCTTGCTCCACTGAACCTGCCTTAAGCTCATTCCCCAGTGCCTGAATAGTGCTGCAGTGTGGAGACCGCAGGCACTTGGCTGGCCATTTGCTTGGCCATGCCTAAGCCAGCTAAGCCTTTAATCCCCATACATGCCTCCTTTATTAAATTAAAAAAGATTTCAGAAACTGAAAGGAACCCCACTCTTGTTCAGCATGTGGGCTCTCCTTTGTACACTCACATTTCCTCACCCTGCCAGCATCTCCTCCTCCTCTCTCTTTTTCTTGGTCCTGTGCTTCCTCCTTGCCCACTGCTCATTGTGGCTGCCCAGCAAAGGGAGAGCAAGCTCCTTTGTGTCTGTCCTTGATCCGTGCAAAGTCCTCTGCTTTTCACAGCAGAGCTGAGCAGTTATGTGGCTTGTGGGTGCAGTGAGAAGCGGAGGAGGAGGTGAAGATGGGAAGAGGGAACAGAGGCGGAAATACTGAAGTGAGATAATGAGAGAGAGAGAGAGAGAGGAATGGAGGAGATGCCGCAGCTGGTGCTGCCTTGCCCCCTAGCTTGTCTTTGTCGCTGTGTTTTGAGGCATGGCCTTTTTAAGCTTCATTTTCAGTTATCGCAGCTAAGTGGAGCAGCTGCTTTGCTCTCTGTGGTGGAAAATGAGACAGTAGAGAACTTAGAAGAATCAGAGAGAGAGAGAGAGCAAATATTCCCCAAACCCTCCTCTGCTTCTCTGAAAAAAAAAAAAAGTAAAAAATCATGCAGGAAGTCTTGTCAGTGTAGCCTCAGAAGGGATTGTGTTTTATTTCCCCACCGTTTCACCTTATCTTTCTCAGAGGAGCTGTTCTTCATGCTGAAGGGATTATGAGTGGTTTCACCCCATAAATTCAGAATGCTTCTCAGGAAAAGAGAGCAGGGTGGAAGGTGTGAAATGGCTGAGCCCTGGGGGCTCAGCGGGCATGCAGGTTTGGTTGGTGCCTCACAGCATGTCTAGGGCATTTGCCATAACCCGCTAACGTGACTTCTGATAGCTTCTTGCTAGGTCAGTATCTCTGTTTTTGAAGAATCTTAGGCTGTTTCATACTATTATAAGTAATCTAAACCCACTGTGCTGTATATACAGAAGTCTGGTTACTGTATTTCAGAACTTTCAAGTAAACGAAAAATGAATGGAAATGTCTTTTCTGTGTAGCATTAGTTACAAGAGGATTAAAATTGTGGATGAAATATTTTTGTTTTTACAGTTGTGTGTAGGATCTCTGGTGATTTGCATGGAAACTCCAGTGTTGATGAATTATTAGTCTTTGTAGGTTATTGCTTCTGTCTTTTTTCACATACCCACAAAAAGGTTTGACTCAGCACTGCATATATTAGCGATATGAACGGCTCCACCAGTTTAAAAAAAAAAACAACAAACTACATAGATGATACAATTCTAAAGTTTAAAACTACTTTTTAAAGCAAACTATGTTTATTTTAGGGAGAAAGTATGAGTTTCCCAGGATCTACAGGGACAGAGGTGAGTTTGTTTAAACCCCAGACAGAATGTAGAAACTATTTAGTTAACAGCGGTCAAACCTTTGAAAATGCTTCTCTTTTATTTTCTAGATTGTACAAGCAATCCAGAACTTAACCCGTCTCTTGTACAGCATACAGGTGACTACTCCACTGCTAACTTTGTAGAGTAATTAGCCTTAATAATTTACTTCTTAAGGTTTGTTTTCATCTTGCCCTACTTTTAGACATTGTGTCAGTGGATACTTATCTCTACTAACTGTTGCATAAGTTGTTGTATAGTATATTTTTATTCCACACCAGTGGTAGGCTTCTTTTAAGAACTGAATAATGTTTGCTTGCTTGGAGATCAGTCTGCCCCCCAAAAAAGTGTGTGTACAGTCCGAAAATCTAGGGGGAAAGTAAAATGATGGCTCTGACTGAACTGATGTCATTTCATGTACAGATTTATGAAATTATTCTATTTTCAAAATATTGAAAAATGATAGTATTTTGTTTAGAATATTTTGCTGGCTACTAGTAAGCAGTTCCTCTGCCACATAGGTAGCAAACTCAACCTGTTTTAGATATTTCAGTCTCAGCTAATTATTGTGCATATTCTGTAGAGCCTTAATCTGAAGTTTTTGTCTCTATCATGCTAAGTCTGAATGTTTTAACTTCATGTGCAGTTTTATATTTTTAAAATGTTTCATTTGAGTATGTTTAATTTTTAGACTCTCTTGACATTAGTATATTTCATAATAACTGTGGAAGCCTGGGCCTTAGAAGTAAAGTGGATTGGAGCAATGCAAAAGTAAAACAAAAAGCTTGTAATTCAGGCAAAATTTTTGAAAAATTGAAAACCAAATAGCTTAACACCAGAAGTGCAATAAAGTAAGGCTTGGGATCACACCTTAATTGTTCAGACCATGAATTGGCAGTATAGATGCAGGAAAACAAGGAGAGGATTCTGTCCTTGCGCTGTTTACAAATGACTGCAACTAATCCAATACTGGAGGAAGAGCCAAAAAAAATGGGAATTGCACATCACATATAGTTAAAAACTCTTTCTGGAGTGGACGGCATGGGGTAATGGGGCTGTGGGAATTCTCTGGGAATGTCTGTCGAAAATAAATTCCCATGTCAGCTCTTGAAGATAGGCTATGCAATAAGTGCCTCAGCAGCTCTAGGTCTTTCTTATTTTTCTTTCTTCTTAATCCCAGCTATTTATTATTGTGTTATTGCAGGATGTCACAATCTTTAATGCAAACAATGTCACAACATCCTTGTAAAGGTCAAAATATAGTGCTTTTGTTTGTAAAATCAACTAGTGAAATATCTAGTCTGAAAGTGTTACTACACTGCCGATTGCCGGCACAGATATCTTGGCCAGCTGGAGTACAGTCCTGATGATGTTGGCAGGTTCCTGTAGGGCTGATGTTGGCAAGACTGTGCTGTCTCAGGTTAGCAAGGAGAGCCTTAGAGTTGGAGCTGTACTGGGAACAGTACAGTTTTATCTGTATAAGCCACATCTGTGTTAGGAATACTTTGTTAAGTGTAGCGTTCCCAGTGCCTTAATGCCCTCTTTAACCATGAAAAATCATTCTTCCTATGTGTCTTAACTTCCTCTGACAGAAAAGGCCCCCAGCTGTAACTGAAGTGCATATGCACAGCTGTAACATAAACATATGTAATAATACTAAGTGTAAACCAGAAGCTGTGTTAAAAGTGCTTGAAATGGTTGAGTGCTTTTAGAAACATCTCTTGGTAAAGGCATGAACATGGAATTTTCTCTGCTTGCATGAGAAATAACCTCCCAGAAAGCATTAAGCGCTGATACTATGGGAGGTTGAAACTTTTTTATATAATGCTTCTATGTAAAAATGCAGAAATGGACTAATGCTAATATTAAAACATTTATGTCTAATTTTGTTGTGGTGTTTAGGCAGCACTAGCTATCCAGGACAGCCACAGAGAGCTTCATAGGTTACTCCTGCAAGAGAATGAGAAGAGTGGTCGAGGCCATGGTTCTCGGCTAAACCTCCTTCTGGAACAAGAAAAACACCGGAATCTGGAAAAACAAAGGGTGGAGCTAGCCAACATACACAAACTGAAGCAGCAATTTCAGCAAGAGCAGCAGCGATGGCTGCGTGAATGTGACCAGCGACAGCGGGAGCAGGAGGTGAGGGAGGGCTGGCTGCGGCAGCGGGAGAGGGAGTGCGGGTGCCAGGAGGAGCTGCTGGAGAGGAGCCGACAGGGACTGGCGCTGCAGCTGCAGGAGTACCAGCAAAGCCTGGAGAGGCTCCAGGAGGGCCAGAAAATGGTGGAGAGAGAAAAAGACCGCGTGAAAATGCAGAAGATGCTCCTCTGGCACTGGAAGCATGGTCAACAAAGTAGCCTGTTGTCATCCACAGGGAGCTATGAGGTATGTGGTTCCTCACCATAATTATGTCCCCAGTTGCAGACCTAGAGAGAATTTCCTTGACAAATAGGCTAGTGCATCTAGGTTTTGTTCATTGGTAACATAACATAAGTGAGCATGTGGGAAGCTGAGGTTCAGGCATGTCCAAGGGCTTTGTTCGAACCTCATGAAGTTTAACTAGGGAAAGTGCAAAGTCCTGCCCCTGGGAAGGAAAAACCCCATGCATCAATATATGCTGGAGGCCACACAGCTGGAAAGCAGCTTTGCAGAAAAGGACCTGTGGGTCCTAGTAGACACCAAGTTGATTGTAAGCCAACAGTGGCCAGAAAGAAGGCTCACAGACATCTGTATTAGGCAAAGTATTGCTAGTACGTCAAGGGATGTGATCCTTTCCCTCTACTTTGGCCACACCTGGAGTGCTGTGTCCAGTTCTGGCTCCCCAGTACAAGAGAAATACAGAGCTATGGGTGCAGGGGGTGATGGCGTAGGGTGGGAGGAGGGGTAAAGTGTCCAGTGAAGGGCCACAAAGATGTCTGAGGTCACTGGGGCATCTCTTCTATGAGGAAAGGCTGAGACTGTTCAGCCTGGAGAAGAAAAGGTTCATGGGGGTTCTTAAAGAGTAAGAGGATGTAAAGGGGATGGAGCCAAGCTTTTTTCAGTGGTGCCCAGAGACAGGACCAGAGGCAACGGGCACAAACAGAAACACAGGAAGTTCCTTCTGAACATCAGGAAGCACTTTTTTCCTGTGAGAGCGACTGAGCACTGGCACAGGTTACCCAGGGAGGTTATGGAGTCTCCATCATTGGAGATATTCAAAGCCGTCTGGACGTGGTCCTAGGCAATTGTCTCTGGGTGGCCCTGGTTGAGCAGAGGAGTGGACCAGAAAACTTCCAGACATCCCTTCCAATCTCAACCATTCTGTGATTTTAAGCTGGGTGCCCTACAGAAGCCAAACTCAGACCGATGGATATGAAGTTGAGGGGATGGAAATTGTGAGAATCTGCATTTTATTCTGCTTTGCTGCTGTGTTTGCAAAGTACATTGCATCTCTTGCCTCTTGTGTGAAAGCTAAATTACTGTAATGCTTGAGGCATATAAAGCTTTTAGTGAAGTCTTTGGCTGCTGTCCTTGTTCCTGGACAACAGCACTGTCTCCAGTGAGGAACAGTGGCTGCTCCAGGAGTGGGAAATGCCAGGCTCCCATGAACCCCATGTGTCAGGCTCTTCTGTCCTGCTTCCCTGAAACACGCAGCCTTTCAGGGGAAGAGGTTGGTGTGTGGCTCCATCCCCGACAGTGTAATTCCTTGGAGATAGTCATTATTAGGCAATGCAATTTAAAGTAGCTCTGAAGATGCTCAAACATTTAATACCAAAAATGATTTTGTTTTGGTTGAGGGTGAAGAATAGAGGTTGACTCTGAACTCAGTTGTCTTGGTGCTCACCTGCCAGATGGGACCTGGTTTCTAGTCCCTTCCTTGATGGGTACAGTCTTGATTTCCATTACTGTTCTCTAAAGCACCTGAAAATCAAAACATTTTGCCTGGCTTTTGCATACATTGAAAGCTCACTGACTCAAACAGCTTTTTTTTGCCCAGGTTTCAGTTTTCACAAGAAGATCTGTAGAGCCTTTCTTCAGGCCATCACCTCCCTAGCTTTTCAGCTGGCAATTGACCCATAACAGGCAGTGACCATTTTCCATCTAAGCCTGTGCCTGCATGAGGGGGTGAAGGATTGGCCTTTGACCTCCTCCTTTTCATCCGGCTGTTTTGAACACCGTGTGAACATGACTTATCCATATATGCTTGCTCAGCCCAAACAATGAAGGCACTGCTTACTAGTATAGCTTGTGGTGCAATTCTGACATGTTTGGCAGTTCTTAAGGAAGTGGATGATAAAACCAAAAAGGAACTTGGCTGTCAGCTTTAGTGGATGTGACTTCTGAAATCTTTTGAGGAGAGGAAGTTGAAGGACGATAGCCTGATGCAGGGATGGCCAGGACTGCACAGACAAGAGGCAAAATAATGAAATGCTGAGTGTAGAAGTGTAGTAGTTCTTAATCTATTATTTCATGTGTAAGACTACTTGTACTTTTATTTCAAGTAAACTGTGTAGCTTTGGATGCATTCCAGGCCTTGGGATTGTCTTTGTCCTGCATTTTCCACTACCATACTCCTTGGTGCTGCAGAGCTGGCTGAGTGGATGCCAGTCAGCCAGTGTTCCCAGCCCAGTGTTTTTGTCATTACACTGAACCCAGCTCGTTGTGGATGGCCAAACTTTACAGTAACTCATGTTGCTACTCCTGCTTTCTTGTGAGCTCTGCCTTGATAAACACCTGTAGGCAGGGGGTCTTTGCAGGAGTTGCATTTTCAGCCCCTGGGAGCCATGGCCACTTGCTGAATGCTGTTTGCCATCCCTAAACTGACTGCTGCAGTCCTGTTCTCTATGTTTTAACCTGTCTGTGTGAGGTACAGTGTTATTTTTGGATTGCAGTGTACACAGATTTACATATGTGAAGTGGTACCTTGTTGAGCCATGGGGCAAAATATTGACCCCCAGAAAGGAATCAGCAGAGCTCAGTGCATCCCAGGTAGCGACCCTTTGTTATTTGCCATTTTGCAATTATTACTGAGTTTTCCTGTGTTTGGAGGGGAGCTAAGGCAAAATTTACTAGGTTATCACTCTTTATTCCTGCATGCACATCCAATTTAACATGTTTTAAGATTAACTTCTGGAAAATTAGGTGACTATTTGCGATGAATCCCCATTCTGTCTGGCAGTTAATTTTATGTATCCAGGTATAAAGATTCTTCAGGATGATGCTCGTGGTCATATGGCTTGGTTATAGGTAGTGCTGCGAGGAGCAGAGAGTAGAAATTGATGATCCTTAAGGGTCTGTTCCAACTTGAGATATTCTGTGATTCTAGTGCTGGACAAAGGTGAAAATGCTGTTCTCTGTTTTTTCCCCCCTTCTGCAGATAATGGGACATAACCAATTGGACAGCTTATATGGCGAAAATACGTTCTACTTAAATGAAGCTGTAGTGTGTGTGTCTCTAGGCAGTCTCAACAGATCAGATTCTTCTCTCATTTATGACGATGGTGTGTATGGGCTGAGCATCTCAAATTCTGATACAGCAAAGACTAGCGAAAATCAGGTGGACCTCAAAATGGACGCTTCTTGTCAGCCAGTGTTAACCACTGCACTGTGGAAATCCACTGGTCCTTACCAGCAGATGTCTTTTTCCTGCAAAAGCAACAAGGATGCCTTTAATAATGGTAATTAACACTTTATTTAATTAACAAGTATTATGGGCAATTTGCCACCTCTCAGAATTAATAGTCGTAGGAATGAAGACAGCTTGGTAGCGATGGAAGCAATAGATTTTGCTAAAACAATTGCATGCCACTTCACAAGCTTGTGGAGGGTAGATGAGAAAAGAAGAACAGAAATGTAGAAAACTTTTGAAAAAAAACAACAGAGCCCCTCCCCTGTTGGTGTCTGCATAAGAGTACTCAGAATGTTGTCCTCTCCAAATCCTTTCACAATGCTTTTTGACTTTTTTGGGGTTTTTTTGGTTGGTGGTTTTTGTTGTTTTGGTTTTTTGTTGTTGTTGGTTTTTTTTTGTTTTTTTTTTGCAAGCTGAAGTAATTCTTGCTGCTTCAAGTGCATCTTATTGGCTCTTTTAGAACATATGTGCATTACTTAATGATTTCTAGTTAGAAGCTTTTGATTCACATTCTTAAAATGATAATCAGTGGTCAAACTCCCTCTTCTTTCATAATTGAAAATGAGATGAAAATATCTTGAAAGACTGTAGTTGTGGAAAGAAAATCACATCACTTCTGAGGGTTAATACTATCTTTGACAATAAGTTTCCATGTTAGTAAAAATAGCTCTAACTGCATTACCGTTCTTTATTTTTCTAATTTACCAGAACCCCCAAAGATATGTAGATTGCACGGGAGTTGTTGATGGTGGCTACCAAAATGAGCAGAAAAGGCCACCAATCTGAGCACTGCATTGCACTGAGAATTCCCTGATGGACTTAAAAACAAACTAATAAGAAACTATCTGGGTTTTATTTCTCATGTTACACAATGCTACTTTTGATCTGACTTGGTGTTTTCATTCTTTCATTATTGTGAGAGTTGTAGCAGCATGTAAAACACAACAGCTAAAAGTCTTAGGGGACCATGGTGCGCTTTTGGTGTAATAGATTAAGTAATCTATTGGGGTTTTCCTGCACAGTTGTGAGATCCAGGTGACACATGGCAAGTCAATACTGCAGCAGTGCCCAAGCTCCCATTTTTCTGCAGCTGTCGTTGTAGGATGACTTCTGTCCACACACCAGCTGTATGCAGGTTGGGTCACAGCAAAGACCAGTGGGCAGCAGGATCAGAAGTTGAAAACATACACAGGTACAATGGTTTTTAACTTTCTTAATTCTTGAAGTTCTTCAAATAAAAAAGTCCTTCATTAAGGAACTTGCTCCTTAGTAGTCCTTGTAATGTATTAAGCAGACATCCACTACAGCCTTACTTGTCCTTGGTACATGGAGTGCCAAAGTAGCATTTTATAATCAAAGGCAGGGCATGCTAGTCTCATCACCACAATCAACAAACCAAGCTGATTAGTAGAAGAGATTAATATTTCTAAAAATGCCTAATTAGCCTGGTGAAACTTGTTCTAGTTTGACTGAAGTTGTCCTTTTAGTAATAGGTTAGCCAAGCTAGTGCAAATTTGAAAAGGAACACATATGTGGGTTTAAACGTCTCAAAAGTGGATTAGCTTGCACTGGCAAATGTGCAGATGCAAGCTAACCAGGATACTTTCTATTGAGCCCACATGAGAGCATCTGGTTTAATTAAATTGGCTTGTACCAGTTTAATTGCACTGATTCTAAGATAAGCTGGTGGAGCTTCTGTGTGTAAGATGCCCTCACCTACAATGGGCCAGCTTTGTGTTCAGCTGATGCCACTGCATCTTGTGTAGACATCCTTATCTTGCCATGGTCTAACAGAGCACCAGTGCAGTCCCAGCAGCTTGGGGACCATTGCTGGCTACAAAGCCTGCCCAAGAGGTAGAGTAACAGGCTAGTATAAGTCTGTCTGGCTAAATTATCTCCTTAAAACCTGCAGTTAGTACCTTGACTGAGTCACAAGGTGCCTTTGGCAAAGCAGTGCAGCAAACCTTTGCAGTACCCTGATGTTGCAGATGGTGCTGGAAGCCCTCCGGGCACATTGCTAGAGCAGGCAGGGCTGGGAGCCTCCCCTCAGGGAGATGTCCCATCGCATTCCACAGTCGCGTTTGTGATTCGGAGGGTGACAAGTATTTTATGCTCTGATGTGCAGTGCATGAATCTGCATGATTCAGACTTGCTTCTGTCATGCATCAGGAGCCACCTTATGGGGAGTGGGGAATGAGAAGAACGCTAAACTTCCCCCTGAAAAACAGATGGCATTTGAAGCCCCAGCAAATGGCTCTACACATGGAAATGAAGTAAATCGCTTGTTCCTAAGCAATGTGAATCAAGATGAGCAGTACAAACGTTTCATACAAAGAAGCTATTTTCCTTGGGTATTTTTGTTTGTTTTTTTTTTTTTTTATTTTTTTTAGGCCGGGGTTTGGACCATGCTTTCTTCCCAGAGAGTTTAGCAACGTTTAAAAAGATCTCTGACCTTGTGCCTCCATTTCCTGGATCTGCAGGTCATAGTCAGTTCCAGTCACTGTGAAGGAGTTGCAATGAGACAAAGACTATAAAGAATTTGCAATGTTTCATGACATTTTCCTGCATGTTTCAACCAGCTCTATGTATAAAGTCTCATAATCATCTTTCAAAAAACACTCCTAAATAATAAGTCAAAATAGAACTAAGAACAAAATACTGAGTATGATTTACTGGCAAGAGCCATGTACCAGATACATACATGACTAGATCTTACACCTAGTAATTTTTGTGTGTACACAAAAGGAATTTCTTCATTTTTATAAATTTTCCTAGAATTATTAGGCATCCTATAAGAATTCTGCTCTGTCAAAAAAGAGACTTAAATTATTTAAAGAGAAGTACCACCTGAACACTTTGTCAAGGAGTTAATAATGTTGCATTTTACCCCATATTAAATACTATGCAATTTAGCTTCATAAATATACTCAAATAGAAATGGCTACATTCCTCCAGTGCATTATTTTCCATTCATATTTTCTAAGGTAAGACATATGTCTTTTCACATAGCTAGCATTACAATTATATATCATTGTTTTATGTGTATGGGAGGGAACTTTACTAAAGACCTTGGGGCAAGTTCCCACAAAGCTGAAACTGGCACAAGTACACTCGCTTGAAAAGGTGTGTCAGTCAACAGGAGGAAAATACGATTGAAAGAAAAATGTGTTAATGCTTTACACTAATGGATATGAAATTTATCTGCATGAAAGAAGACAAGTACTTTGGCTAATTAGGAATCAGGGGAAGTATAGGTTTTTTGTCAGACCAGACTGAGAATTGAATAAATTGCTCTTGCATTTAATTGACATGTCAGGTTAACTAGCTGAAGTGATACCTAAGGATTTACCTATGGATTCACCTCTTTGATTTCAAGAATCAGTGCAATTTTAATTCTTTTAAGCTTTGAAGTGAACAGCATTGTTGGCTGGCACTGCCTTTCATTTTTTTCATTCAGATGTTGTAGCTACAGGACTAGAGTTGAAAAGTGACAGATCTGGAAAACTGCACTGGAACTTGATTGTGGAAGGTTTTTTCCTCATACTAACATTTGCAGTGTTAGCATGAAGGAACTTTATGCATGATGGAGTGAAAAATATAGTTTAAATCTTTATGGGTAACATAGGAAAACCTGTGATCTCCATAAACAGCCAAATGCAAAACCAGGGAGCAAAAATAGGGCTCTGTTTGACTAATGTGATCTTAATCTTTTCTAAAGGACAGAAATTTGTACATATATGCATATAAACAAATGAGATGATAGTTTGATTTTTGGCAAAATAATCCATTTATAGTGGTTTTCATCAAATAAAGTATTTTCTAAAGATGTAAAAGATTTAATTTGCAATAGAAAAAGCGAAAACCCCAGAAACAATGTGTAGTATTCTATAACTCCATTTTATTCCTTATTCCTTGTAAGAAAGTAATTTCATTTTCCTCAAGGCAGATTGTGCTAATGGTGATTGCGTTATTGAACCTGCTCTTAAAACTGTAGATAAAATTAATTTGGTGTCATTTCATTGGTAATTAAGATGAGGGTTAGAACAATATGTTATTTTTTGGCTACCTGAATATCAGTTATGGCCCAAAGACATTGTACAAAAGTACATGTATATGTTTGCATCAGTGCAGTATGGGCCTGGCTCTTTTCTCATATTTGTGTCAGGGGAATATGTTCCAGACAGAAGATGTATACAATGTAAAGCTGATGCAAGTGTGCGGGTGAAATATGCTTTGCATAACAGTGTTAAAAAGCCACCTATAGACATACAAGCTGTTTCCCACTGGTTCCAAGTTAGCACAGGATTTTGGCAAGGGGTGAAGCTCAGAAACTCAGGGCCTTATTCAAATAAGCATAGCTACTGCTACCAGTGCTGGAGGTGGTTAATGGGACCCTGTATTGAAGGTTATATTGAATAAGATTGTTTTCATTGCTTGGAACCTGTTAAATAATGACTAGCTCCCACACAAAAGTCATCACAGTTCTGCATATGTGACCATTGTGAGTTACTTTCTGTACTACTGCTGCTGAGTACATCTGACCCTATCATCTTCTAAGCTGGAACACAATTGTGCCCCCGTACAGCACACACTTTACACATCTCCTGTTTAAACATCATCTGTCATAGCCAACGGCAGGCCAACCCCTTACCACATGCAGAATGGGATGGGAAGGTGCTTTTCTGGCTATTTTGAGTCTCTCTGATGTGTTTCACAATATTCTTGATAGTGCAATTTCTTCACTGCTTGCCCTGCACAGTGAGCAAATTCTTTCTTTTGGTCTTCTACTTGAGAAGAGGGAAGGAGGGAAGTCTTTTTAAAAGTAAAGGATGACATGACTGTGGAGCTCCTGGTTTGTCAGGGAACCTCCTGGACAGGTGTGATATTTTGAGCTACTTTAAACTTTTGATCTTTTTTAACTGAGTAGATGCCAAATTGAGAACATGCAATTAATTCCAAATTGCCCTTTCTGTGTTCTACGTATCCTTTCTACTCTTACAATGGATGGTTGCCTAGGTGAGCACAGATCCCATTCAGTGCTCAACGTTA